CTTCATTCTGTGCCTTCTTTGGCATGGAAGTCTTCTTCAATGTTGAGATCCTCTTGTACTTGCGAGACAATGAAGATCTTGAAGAGGATGATGAGAGATATTCCTCAAACTTGGTTTGGTCGAATTCGTATTCGATTATGGATTCAACTGGAATCTTGATCGGCTACGACACGACGGTCTCGGCAGCGAGACCGTTGGCTCGCACTGTGGTCGCCAGTTTGTTTGCGTCAAAAGTTGGTTTTGTTATGGAATTCATTATATCTTTGGTCGATTACAACAAATTCAAAAGAGATAGTCTTTTTATAAGACTTCTTTTACACAACAAAAGAAAAATTACAACTTTTTAGAAACAAACGCAGGATCGTTGTTTGGATCGCTGCTTGCGTGGGATCTTTGCCTGTGCCGGGAGCGCTTTGACTCGTGGACCACCAAATCACAGATTCTGATTGAACCGTGAGGGGTTTAATGATTCTTCCTTCGTTTATCGAAGTAAGAATTTGAAGCGAATATCTTATCGATGTAAGATGTTCACTCTTCTAAAGATCAAGTCAGAGCTTAGATCTCTAGGAATCGCCAAAAGCTTCTTGAAGATGTTTGTGAAGAAGGAAGACTCTCTCTTTTGCTCTAATTCACCAAAACTCCAGGCCCTCTGCTCTAATTTGCTCTGGAAATGCTCAGCCCCTGTCAATGATGGCCATAGGGGGGTATTTATAGCCTCCTTAGACGATAACTGAAAAAATAGCCGATCAACAACTGTCTCTTTAGGCGCGGCAGTTGATGCTGTCGCGGCTAAAGGGCGCGACAGTCGACACTGTCGCGGCCAAAGAGCGCGGCAGTCGACACTGCCGCGGCTAAAGGGGCAGTTACACCCACGTTCATACGTGTTTGAAACAGTTCTCCCACGACCTTTAACCACCTTTTTCGTGGTTTAACTGCTTTTCCACATCAGCACACATAGGCTGCCGCGTCTAAGCCGCGGCACCATAGGCTGCCGCGCCTTAGCCGCGGCACCATGGTCTGCCGCGCCTCAGCCGCGGCATCATGGTCTGCCGCGCCTTAGCCGCGGCACCATGTCCTGCCGCGCTGCCATGTAGTTGCTTGATGATGTGTATAATGTTCTTCTATGTTATCTTGAGTGGTGTTTGAACGTCTGTAAGCATTTTTTGACGCCTACAATGATCATTTTAAGATGAATTAAATTCATTTCTAATTGTTTCTACTTCTAACATGGCATTATTCTTTTCATGAGTTAAGCTAGTAACATTTGAATTAAAGAATCATGATCCAATTTTAATTTTTCATTGTGTTCTTTTAGGATCACACTCTCTTTAGCAATAGTATCAAACTTAGAAGCTAATAACTCATGATCAGATTTTAAGCTAACATGCTTGCTTTTCAAATCAATAAAATTATGTATCAATTTCTTGTAAGCATTCATTAATTTTTCATATGCACATGCGATATCATAAATGGATAATTCATTGTCTGATTCTGAATCGCTTACCACACTAGGGTTATCCCCTAGTGGACGTGTGCATGATGCTCCACTAGATCTTGAAGACGATTCTGTCACAACACGTCGAATCTCCTCCAAGTCTCATTGATGTGCTTTAAAAAGTTTCCATATAGTATAAGCACTATCAAAATGAGCAAGTTCGTTAGAAATACATGGTTCAAAAGCATTAAGCAAGAATTCTAACACTAACTTGTTCATTATAAACATCTTCTTATCATGATTGCTCCACTTGGATTTCTCCAATGTGGACACAATATAAGCACAATCAATAACTTCCTACAAATCGATATTTTTAGATTAAACAAATATTTTAAATCTAAAGCACCATTGATCATAAGGGAAATTTCTATATTTTGGAGCAACACTAGGATCATAGCCTAAATAAGATACAACATGCATATCCATAATATATATATAAATATATATTATATATATATATATATATATATATATATATAGTATATATATATATATATATATATATATATATATATATATATAATATTATATATATATGAGAGAGAGAGAGAGACAGACGAGAGAGAGAAAATGCGATATGTCTTGTACAAGCCACAAATTGTGCCTCTGCTAGTATGCTTGCTCACATCCTCATTCCACTCGACTACCCCATGTGAAGTCTGGTCCATATTTCAATCAGTGCAGGAGGCGATGTGAACACATCACTACCAAGCATACCCATATTGCCCTCATATATATATATATATATTATATATATATATATTATATAGAGAGAGAGAGATTGAGAGAGACAGCCAGAGGAATATGGCGATAATACTTGCGCCCAAGTGATCCTTGGTTGTGATGATGGGACACATCTTGCTCCATACATCACACCTTGCAGTTGTAAGGCCCGCTCCATCTTCAAAGGTTGATGTATGGACAAGATGTGTCCACATCACTACCAAGATCCTTTGGTACCAAGTATACCCATTTTTCTCATATATATATATATAGTATATATATATATATAATATATATTATATATATATATATATATATATATGCAAGCAAGATACAATAAATCTCAAAACTAGATTAGCATAAATAAATAACTTGGATCTTTAACTCGAGGTAATTAAACCTTAAATCAAAGAACACCAAGCTCTGATACCAATTGAAAGACCCTAGAGGGGGTGAATAGGATTTATGCTAATCTAATCCGATTTAATGCCAAATAAAAAATTATTAATATTTATATCCTAACAAGTATGATATACAATAAGTATATGCAAGGATAAGAAATTAACACAAGGGTGAAATAAACATAAACGTGATAAACAAAATAGTGAGCAATATGAACTAAGAGCAATTGACAATGGCGATATAAGATGAACACAAAAATAAGTGCGTCAATGACAAACACGAACAAGCAATATGATCACGGAGTTCGGTCAACCACTTGACCTACGTTTCTGCTCCTCACCTCGAGGAGATCTCTACTATCACAACCTGGTTTTCGACGCTCACCCGAATAACGTTTACATCTCACAATCTCGATTTTCTAGCTCACCGAAAACTCTCATAATTCACACTCTTGCAATCACACTCTACACCCTCTAAGTGTTGGTCTCTAACCCGTATCCTTCCTCAAGTGCTTGGATTTACCACCTCTCCCTAGGCTTACTACCGACGTCACTTCTCTTGGAACTGACCCCGTCTCTCACCACACACTTCTCTCGGTGTATAAGTGTATTACAAAGTAATCTCACAATAAAAACTCGATACAACAAAGTTTGTTCTATACAATGGATGAGAAGGAATTATAAGCTCACTCTCTAAGTCACACAATCCCACAACCCTAATTATACTATGTATGAAAATACAATAAGATCAATGGTTGTGTGTGTAAATAAAGAGTATAAATCAAAATTAAACTCAATATAATCTCTAGCTTAATAAAATGATAATCAAATAATTATATATAAATGTAAAGCTAGATTGAGTTTAGAAACACTTCTCTAAAGATGACAAGAGAGAGAGAGAGAGAGAGAGAGAAAGAGAGAGAGAAAGAGAGAGAGAGAGAGGGAGAGAGGTGAGTTGAATGCCCAAACACAAATGATGATCTCCTCAAGCTCTTGTGAAAATTTCTTCACAAACAAACTAATGCCCAAACACAAATGATGATCTCCTCAAGCTCTTGTGAAAATTTCTTCACAAACAAACTTGTAAACAAACTTTGAAACCCCTCAAGCTCTTGTGAAAATTTCTTCACAAACAAACTTGTAAACAAACTTTGAAACCCTTAAACTCTTTTCGAAACTTTCTTAAACTTGTTTAGAAACTCTCTTGGATGATACCAGAATGTTAGAGGGCATGGGGTATATATAGGATCATAAGACAAAGCCCAAAATTCAAGAAAAACCAAGGAAAAAGACAAAAAAAAACCTAAAAAATCAGCAAGTCGGGAAAACTAGCCATTACAAGACATCAGTCGACTGATGAGCTGACCGTTATAGTCAGCTCAACACATCATCGGTCGACTGATGAACTCATTAGTCGACTGACGACTTGCTTCAGTCGACTGATAGTTCATCAGTCATAGCAGCAGAAACTTTTGCACTTTTTAGACGATTTTATCGGTCGACTGATGAGATCCATCAGACGACTGATAACATGTTATCAGCCTGTTATAAACAGTAAATCTAATTTTTAAACCTCTTTTAAAAATAGCAAATAAATTCCAAAAAATGTAAAACTTTAGAAAATGGTTATAAACATGTTAATTAACATGTTACAAAAAGAAATTTTGGAATTGCACTTCCCAAATGAGAAATCTCTTCATTTTGCAAAAATCTCCAAAACATAAAAACTTGAGATACTTGAAATTTGATGTTTTGACATAAACCAAAGTTTTGAAAACTCTTCAATAGATTTATAGACTAGATAAAGGATACGAAATATTGTTATTAAGTATATAATCCAAAAACATAATATTTTACCAAATACAATAGAATATGAAACATATGAAAGTGTATATGAGTATAACTATTGTTTCATATCTATAAAACCAAAACACCTTATCTACAAGAAAACGACTATGTATGTATATGAATATATATCTATTTGCTTGTAGAAACTTTGTTTGTGGATAAACCAAAAAAACGGATAAACCAATAAATTGTGTGTGTATATGATATTGAGCTTGAAGTATTAAACACACATAATATAACATCTAAACTAATTTACCCAAGCTATCTTGATCTTCAATTAAGCTCGTCTTGGTAAACTTTGCAGATGAAGCTTGTACTTGGATCTTTAACTTGAATTGCATTGTTTCACTCTGATATTTCCTTCCATCCTCCAATGGATATGATCGTGAATGCTCGATTCCATCCATCCTCTAACACATTGTTTGCCTAGAATAAATAAAAAAACACAAACACTAGACAAACAATATTAGTTATAAATTATTTATTAAAATATCATCAAAATAAAAAGGCCAACACAGTTCATTCATGGGGTCATGGTTAGGAACTTTCTTGAGAAGAACATTATGGTGGATATGGCTCTTGTTGATCTCCATGTGAAGAGAGGGAGGCTGAGGATTGGTCGAAGATTGTTTGATAGGATGAAGGACATGAACTTGATTTCATGGAGCAGAATGATCTCAGGTTATGGAATACATGGCTTTGGAAAGGATGCTCTTGAGCTATTTGCTAAAATGAAAAGTCAAATAAGACCCGATCACATTGTATTTGTTGTTGTTCTTTTAGTTTGTAGCCATTCGGGCTTGATCAATGAAGGGTGGCAATGCTTTAATTCTATGGAGAAAGAGTTTGGAATCGTTCCTAGAGCAGAGAATTATGCTTGTATCGTTGATCTCTTGGGGAGAGCAGGAAAGCTTATAGAAGCTCGTAATTTTATAGAAGGAATGTCGATACAATCAGACTCGAGTGTTTGGGGTGCATTGCTTAGAGCTTGTAGAATGCATCCAGATGTAGAGATTGCAGAATTAGCAGCAAGATCTCTTTTTGAGCTTGATGCCAAGAACTCGGGACGCTACATTCTCTTGTCGAATGTTTACACATCTTTGGGTAAGATTGAAGAGGCCAATAAAATTCGATCATTGATGAAAAGGAAAGGATTAAAGAAAACAGCTGGTTACAGTGTTGTAGAGGTGAAAAACAAGGTCTACAAGTTCTTAGTTGGGGCCATAACAATTAATAAAAGTGGATATTAAACTTATATTTTAAAACCTAATTTAATCGGATCTCGCAAGTTTGTTTGTGTTTCATCGAAGTTGTAATTTGTGAATTTGTAAGAATAATCATATTGTGTACTCAAACAATATCACCTATAAGAATGTAAGAAGTTTTATAATTAATTTCAGCTGGATAACATTCTACTAAACATGTTACCTTTCATTTGGCTATGTTAACTTTAATCTGAAGATGTTAACTTTCATCCTAATATATTAACTTTAACTGTTACATGTTAACTTTCATCATTATATGTTACTCTCCTCATAACATGTTAACTTTTCAGCTGAACATGTTAATGTTCATCATAATATGTTAATTTTTACTGTTACATGTTAACTTTTATAATAATATATTATATTTCTTCATAACATGTTAACTATCAGCTAAACATGTAAACTTTCATCAGAATATGTTAATTTTCACCATAATGTGTTAACTTTCTTCATAAGATGTTAACTTTCAACTGAACATGCTAACGTTCATCATAACATGTTAGTTTCAACTGAACATGTTAACGTTCACCATAATAATTTTCTTACATTATTACAGCTGATATTGCTTGAATATACGATATAATTAGACTTACAATCTTAGAGATTACAAAAACCTTCTACAATATGCTACAAAAGTCTTGACAACCTATATTGCTCTACCAAAAGTATTGTACTAATAAGCAATCCACACCAATCACCAATTACTTCGTTACAATTAGTTTGACTGTAGCCTTCAGCTTTGCATCGAGAACATTTCAGTGGACGTTTGTAAATTTCTATGTTGTTTATACGTCTAGTTCTATTTCTTCCCTTCCTTTTAGTAGTAATTGATAGCAATATCTCGATTTCATCTCTTGACACACTTCGCTTCTCATAATCTAGGATGAGATAAAAAGCTTGGTCATAGCTTTTTTTAAACGCTTCTACTAAAATAAAGCAGTGAAAGTTAACAGATTTGGATGAAAGTTAACATAAAGCAGCGAAAGTTAACATTCAGTATAAAAAGTTAACAGACTAGGAGGAAAGTTAACACGTTCAGTTAAAAGTCAACATATAACTATTATAAATAACATGTTCTGGTAAAAGTTAACATATAGTTATGATACTTAACACACGATAGGAAGAGTTAACATGTAACCATTAAAGTTAATATTTACGATTTGTTTATGCTGTGGAATCTGAAATCACAAAACTAACATCACACAGAGCCAATTTTTAAAAAAAGTTTATTAATTTTTACTTACATTTCAGTTAGAATTTTCTGTTTTTAAAAAAATGGAACTCTCAATATTAACAACTTGCATATGAATCTCCATACAACCACTATTTCGATTATGCTCTACAGAAATACTCAGATTCGTGTACCTCTCAGATTTATATATCAATGGTAAATCATCTTGAGGGACTTTCAGTCTTTCAAACACATCAAATTTTAGTTTAAAAAAATTTGTTATAGAACTTAGCATTGACAACATAGCTTTCTCGCCTAACGACACCATACAAGTCAAGTCACAAATGTAAGAATCTTGGTGGATAAAATCCGGTCGGCTTTTCATGCTAAAACCCCAGGCTAAAAGCTGACAAGAAGAGAAGAACGTTGTGCTATGCGTAGAGTTTCAAAACTTTTATTCAGTGCAGCACAGCGCAGAGTCTGTGAAGGATGCCCCCCCGGGATCCACATACTCCAACGAGTCGAGAACGATACTCTTTTAGTAACATTTCTTTAGCTTTTAATTCCCATTAATTCACTGCCACAATTAACCCCAACGATAATTTGTCAAACATAGCATCATCATCATCATCACCATCAACAACAGAAAGTAAACATACACCAATAAAATGAAGCTACAACTAAGAAACGCGAGAGATTATAACAAATCCCCAAAACCCAACCCAACTCGCTGGCAATGAAATCAACCCTCCCTCAATTCTTCTCAATGGGCTTTCTGTAGAGAATCATGTGCATGGGGGTAAAAATCCCCTTATCCCCTCCGTTGGCGAGATGAATCACGGTCTCATACAACATCTTGTGGCCCTCCACAACTCCTTTCGGCACAATCCTCGGGAAGGTCTTGACGTTGACAAGCACATGGTTCCTCTAGTAAGCGATCTTCCCCATCTTCAGCCTCGTCCACCACGGCCCAGCCAGGGGATTCGAATTTACACTATTCGTACTGAGCCTTTAGCAAGCCTTATGAGAGTACGGTCAATTTACACTATTCGTACATAAGGCTTTAGAAATTTGAACCTCAGTTTTTCGCTACTTAGAAGTTATCAGAAGTATGTAAAGGTATCCGCTCTGACGATCTTTAAGTTTATTTTTTATTTTTCTATATTTAATTTTCCCCTTCCTCTCACTAACCGAAGATTATAAAAGAAGATTCAGAGTCCTACGACTTGAAAAGGAAACTCTTGAGAACTTCATTCAGCCAAAAAAAAGGAAAAAAAAGGAAAATTACTGATATAGTCGAAACAAAATATTAGCGGTAGTGTTAGTAAAGTTTGTCCGGACGGCAACCGAATTAGTTTTTTCAATTGATAGTGGAGAGAATCCAAATTTATTTTGTTTTGTGATTTATTATCAATTATATCCACAAAAACAACAAACCACGATACAACTGTCCTGAAATACAAAGATAAAATGATAATATATATACACATCGTGATGGACAAAAGCTTGCAGATTAAGTTCTTTTTGAAGTAACATAGAATTTTTTGATCAACTAATAGTGAAGAAGATCCGAATTCATTTTGTCTTTTGATTTGTTATTAATTATATCCACAAAAGGCAACCACTATATAACTGTCTTGAAATACCAAGACAAAGTGATGGTATATATAACGTGATAGACAAAAACTTGCGGATTAAGATCTTTTTTAAAAAATAAGGATTAATTTTTTTTTATGAATACTCCATTCCACGTAGTTTCAAACTTAACCAAGAGAAGGGGGAAAGAATACAATATCAATGTAAACGAGAATTTCTCAATACAAATTTTTACCTCCAAGGAAATCACATCATGGAGTTCACCAATATTTTCAGCAATTTAATTTCTGAGTGTCAATAACATGATCCTTTCAACGAGCACTAAAACTAAAGTGAATTATTCCACAACTATGATAGCAAGGATTTTACAGTACAAATACAAAAAAAACAGTAAGATACATGCTATGGGTTACAAATAGCTAAGTAACAATACCCTATGAGGAGTCACTATCCCCTTCCATCTTTTTTTGTGCAGCTTTCTCTGCCTCTTCCAGTACAAAAGATCTAAGTGACTCCACTGTTCTGGGCCCTGCGCAAATGTATTAGAAAGTAAAGAAGTTTCTCAGGGTCTGTCAAAATATTTCGAAGAATATTACACCACTAGCATGATATATCAAATTTCAAATATATACTACAACTTCCAAGTAGCTAGTGTTCAACTTACCAGAATACCTTATATTATCTTCGAATGCTTGGAAAGGAGATTTACGGATCACACTACTTCGATAAACTTCAATGTGCATATATACATTCCAACTAACATGGTATCTTATTTAATCTGAGTTGATTTGATTTCTAAAGTCTACACTTGTAAAGAAAATGGAATTTTATCTCAATGCAAAATTTCCTGTCAAATTTGAGACTGGCAG